CATGTGCATGTGCATCTGTGTGTGATTGATGTGGCTGGTGCTGTATAGCCAAGTAAAAAAGTGTACCTCACCCAAAGGAAGGTACAGTCTCACTATACACATTCACAGACAAAAGGGATGAAATTCTGCCCTCATGGAAGTCAAAAGCAAAACTCTTATTGACTTCACTGTGGCCAGGATTTCATCCAAGATATCCCATAATGGAAACCAGAATAACCCCTCTAAGTTCTCACAAGTGGGAACACTTTTGCACAAAACACCACATCAGAACATTAACAGAGATAACCAAATGATCTCTCCAGTGATAGAGCAAAGCAGAGAGGTGACTAAATGAGGTCATGTTGGCCCAAATCAGTTCAAATGGAAAATGATGTTGTTCTTTTCACCATAGGGGCTTTTGCACATAGACAGTTAATCTCAATAAACTAAATTACACATGTGTTGTGTTTTCAGAGAAGATGCTTTTGGCTGTAAACCCATAGGATTAATTGGTAATTCTCAAACATTTAACATCAAAGAGCCTCATTTAAAAGTAGGCTATGCCAGGCTTCTAATTTGCACCCACAATATTGCACTCTCAATTAATGCTGGAGCAAGTGTTGGCATTTAGACACCTCTTCTAGTTACCTGATTTGCAGGGACAGATGGTTGTTTAAATTCTGTATTTTCTCCTGCAGTTCACGATGCCTGGAATTTTGTAACCACAAGCAACTAAAGGACCAAACTCAGAAGCCATTTTAAAAAAATGAAGTCTTTTATACTTATTTTCAAGGAAATATTAGGTATCATTGTGCAGCTTTTATTCTAATTGACTATCAAATTGATCAGTTTGAGGAACTGTATCCCTTACCTTTAGTCTGGCTAACAATGTAGTGCCTGATTCTCCATTGTGTGGCCTGTTGTGCAGTCATTGGTGCTAGATGGGGATATAATGTTATCATTCTGATTTGTTAGTGTTTTATACCCAATTTCCACAAGTAGAAATGCCCACATGAGGTGCAAGGCAATGGAGTATCAGGCCCTTAGCGATTAAGTCTAGTATGTCTTCCCTATGGCCTATTTATGCGTTTTAATCCTCCATATCAGCTCCACTCTGTATAAAGCTCAATCTCTAAAAAGTGCTTCCATATTCTCCATCAGTGTCTATAGTTAGAGGGGGTGACTGAGTTATGCTTCTTATGCCTGGAACTCTGACTTCATTTTCACATTTAGTTGTCACATCTGTACCCCACACATCATCCTTCTGACCTGAAACTGCATCATGAGAGGCAGAATAGTCATGTGCATGAAAACAGTGGAAGGTCACATTTGGAAGACAGATTCAGTTGCTAAGCAGCATTTAAATCAAGCAGTCATTTCATATTGCTGAATAAAGAACAAATATCTGAGAAAAGTATTTGTCTTGCGCATTTCTGCAGTGTTCAGTGGACAGACAAAATTGCATAGAGTGCTGATTAATTTAAAGTGGCAGAAAGATTACTTCAGTTCAGGAACAGGGCTAGCTAAAATGATATGACAAGCTGATAACGTTCAGCAGAATTACACCTGGCAACAGTCATTTTCATCTCTTTGGGAGACTTACCAATAAATCTGTTCTCTCTCCTGATGGGTGTTTCTGTCCATATTCTCTGACTTCCAGAGTTTTTCAGGCCTTCTGAGTCTTCCACCATTCTTTCTTACTGCAAATAAAGGTTACACACATTGAAAATATATGCAAATTGCAACTACACTGGCATGTAGTGTGGGACACCAGGTCTAATTTCAATAGAAATCAGATCCTCCAATTGTCTAAATGAAGAGTATGTTATGCCTTTAAACAAGTCATTCTTTAAATTATATATGTGAACTTTTTGCTTTCAACTATAGCCAGATTATCAACAAATGGACATGTACTAATAAATTCCCTAAATACCCTTCGTCTAAGTGCAAATTATATATGACTAAATAAATATCTGCACACTGTAATTAACTGTTCTAACTTACCACAAATAGGAGATAGTCTATGTTTATACTAAATGAGCCAGACTTCTTTTCAGCCCTGCAGTAGGTGACTGTTAAACATTTCTACATTAGCATACATTTAAAAAAATGTTTCCATTCTCCCATAGCATTATAGTTACTATAATTAATGCAAATTAAATATGAAGGGAAAACTATCATTTTATTTATAGAATCCATGAGCATTCAAAAAGTTAGGTATTTTCACTTCTATTAACCAGCTAACATGCTATAGAAATCAGTTGCAACCAACAACTCCCTTAGTCAATTATACATTTATTTTACTTACCATGCATGAACAGCAGGACCAAAATTTTCATGTGCTCTAGCTTTATTGTTTAGTTGATTCAGTCACTTGCTGTACAACTCTATGGAAAGATGAATTAAAAAAAAAAGGAAGAGCTCAGTTTATGAAACTTACACGTACACTTGCTAACATGTACAGCATTGTGTGAAAAATGCTGGAGGTGCAAATGTTTCATGTTTGTTGTCAAAAGAAAAGCCAGCAGTTTCTGTCACATGTGACAAGCTAGTACAATGTGCTTTTCTAGGGGTCATTCGGTGCTATGTAAATTAGTCCACTGGGAAAAGGCTAATCCTGGGAGTGCACTGCATCTCATGTCTGGCATGGAAAATGGCAGAAAGGCAAAGCCTAGCTAACACAGATGCTGACTGGTTTATTTG